TTCGAAACCCTCTTCTGATCATTAAGGCGCCTACATTAGGACGTTATGGTAAACCTTATCAGTAACCCTGACGGCCCCCTAGAAATCCTCTAAAGGGGTCTTGAGGGTTTAGGGTTTAGGGGCACTATATTGAATATGAAGGCGCCCCGAATATCAGGGGCTTTTGGAGTGTTCGAGTGAGGATCGTAGGTGAGGGGCATGAGGGCTTGGTTGAGGATACACGGTTTCAGGGTTTACGTTGAAAGCCATGTGTTTTTTTGTAATGGAGGAACCTGATTAAGAAACCCTGGGTCTTTACTAGGGTTCTTTACGTGAATCCTAGTATATTGGGGTTATAAGGCCATGGCTTCTTAATCAACCCAAAGTCTTTAACTGGAGGAACATCTTTCGGCCTCATATAGGAGCACCACGGACAATGCGCACGGAAGCTCCCCCTAAACAAAAAAATTCCACGGGCCGTAAAACATACACCCTAAGCCCTCGCACAAGTCTGGAGCGCCTCGTCAAATCGTACAGGCCTCATTGCAGGTTCCCCTAAGCGGTTTAGGGTTTAGGGTTTAGGGAAAACCTTCAGGCATCTAAACCTGCTAAACGCACATCATCCCACATCCTGAAGACCCTCAATACTTAACCCCTTCCCGAAACCTTACATTTAGAGCCCTACACCCTGAACCCCCTTCAACCCTAAACCCTAAACCCTAAAACCCTGAACCCTAAACCCCTAAACCCTAAACCCTAAAACCCTAAACCCTAAACCCGAAACCCTGAACCCCCTTCAACCCTATACTGGAGGCCCCGGCCGCCGATCCCTTCGGCAGCTCGGGGGACGAGGTTCAGGGTTTAGTGGTTTTTTGGGGTTTAGGGTTTAGGGTTTTTTAGGGTTCAGGGGTTTAAGGGTTTAGGGTTTAGGGTCTAGGGTTTAGGGGTGTAGGGGTTTAGGGTTTAGGGGTTTAGGGTGTAAGGCTTAGGTTTTGGGGTTTATTGTAGGGATTAGGGAAGCATAACGGATCTTTCAAGTCGTCCTCTTACTCGTGCATACTCTAGACAATCTAGACCTGCCACCGTTAGGAAATACTACCACTGTCGATAAGTTACTTTTCTCCTGAACAACAGCATGCTTACTCCGGCCGTTCTGCTTACTCTCGTGGTCCGTATATAGACCCATGATTCCCAAGCACCTAATTTCAATACATCAGGAAAACTAAGGAGATATTGTTGCCAGTTATTCCGATCCCTAAACCCTAAACCCTAAACCGGATCAGTACATGAACTAAACTAAACCGTTCAGGCTCCCCTAGCAGCAGAAGAAGCAGCAGTACGTAGTAGCAGAAGAAGCAGCAGTAGCAGTCGTCACGACTTCATCTTCTACAAGTCCTAGTTTCCTGAAGGTCCTGCTACGAGCTACGCGACGCCCGAACCTGTCCAGGCTTGTTCTCTTATGAGTACCACTACTAGGTCGGCCTGTGGGACATGTTTTGGATTTTCCCTTATTGGGCCTAGGAGGGCATTGTTTGCGAAGATTTTTCAGAGGCTCTGAAGGGCCCAACCTAGACTATGCAATAGCGAATTCCAAATTTATGCGAATACCAGCATTCAGCAACCTTGCGTGAGTGACGTACTAACCCTGTGTACAACTAACCATCCTTCTAGTGTCCATAAACATCGTAAGTCTCACAGAACGACGCAAAAGATTCACGGCAGTAGACCACAATGCCAGGCCTCGCCGCCAGCGCCTACTAACGCGCCGGCAGCTGCGAAGGCCACATGGCGGCTGCCCTGTTTGTGTCTTCAGGGCCAGGACTCCTACACCTTTAAGGGTTTAGGGTTTAGG